GGCTAAGCGGCTGTTGTAGTGTAGCTTTAGGTGTCGAATCCACAAAGAAGCTATATTAAACAAACAAAAAGAGTTGTCACAATGAAAAATTAAATGAAAAGATGAATTCTAAAATTAAAAATAAAAATATTTAAATAAAAGATGATAATTATAAAAGATTGAAAACAACATTATGCTGAACAAAACTTCAGGGTTCACTTAATTGATTTGTTTAACTGTTATAAATTTTGATTCTTATTTATTACTCAATTGCTTATTTCATATCCCAAACAAACAATCGGAAGATTTAACTGTGAAGACCAATAATAATAACTAATATATTTATTTTGAGAGAAATTAATTTCAATGAAGAACAAACTAATTTATCATTACGAGCTATCCAAGAGTAACAATATACATAATCGACAATACTGTAGTAAAGGATCAACCCGCAAAATAAATCTATCAATCAATTATATTATAACAAATCACACATAAAAAGAGCATAACTAATCTTATATGAAATTTGATAAATATAATTTTCAAGGTTTTCAAATCTGAAAAATAATTAATAATCTCTTAAAAATAAAATTAAACAATAAAATCCATGAAGGAATCAAAATAAAATAACAAGTCAAACTCCTCAATCAAGATCCTCCATAGTTTTGTTAAAAGTTTAGTTATCCTTTGACATAATTCTCTAGCCTTGAAGGAGAAAATAGAAGCTTAAGAACTTTTTTTTCTAGATGCTAATCTTAGTTTTCAAGGCTCCTATTTATACTAGGAATAAAATAGGACTGTTTGGTAACTAGGATAGTAGTCCTGGGAAATTAATTTAATTTTTTTTTTTCTTCCCGCACAACCTTGTCGATGAGGGGGTCGGAACCTTAATGAGGGTGCGGAACCCTGCTTCATTCTGTTTTTGTGCAACATTGATAAGGGATCGGAACCTGCTTCAAGGTGCAGAACCCCTGATGCTACTAGAATTCCTTTGCGCTTGGTCACGGCAACTTCACGGAGGGCACGGCAACGTAACAGACTTGCGAACTTTGCTCTTAATCAAATATGGAGAAATTACACTTTAGCCTTCAAAGTTCCAGATTTATCCTTAGATCCTCATCTTTCCAGCTCTTTGCATTTAAGTCCTTTTCTTCTAATTATTCTCCATTTAACATCAAACCTTTAATCATCACAAAATTCACAGAATATGAATAAAATGAACACTTATGAAATTACTTATAAGAAAATACAACTCTTAAGCCCATAATTCCACAAATGTAATTGGTTAAGTACACTTTAGATATACATTTTCTTTCTTTCATCACCTCTTACCCACATTGCACCAATGCTGATGAAACTTGGCTCAAAGGCCTGTTTGACTATTAATTACCTCCTAACATACAAGAATCTCTTATTAAACCTGTTTCTAAGGATGAAATAAGGAATGTGATTTTTTCCAATCCTAGTAACAAGGCCCTAGGACCTGATGGTTTCACTTTAGAGTTTTACAAGGTAGCTTGGTCTATAATAGATGAGTTGGTTGTCAAAGCTATTCAAGAATTCTTTGCTTCTAGTAAACTTCTACGGGAGATGAATTCTAAAATAATCTCTCTTATTCCTAAAGTTCCTAATCCTTCTAGAATGTCTGAATATGGACCCATATCTTGTTGCAACTTGGTTTATAAATTCATAACAAAGATTATTTCGAACCGATTGAAGACTTGCTTGCCACTGTTTATTAGTAGAAATCAGTGTGCCTTTACTGAAGGTAGATTAATGTCTGAGAATGTCCTTCTAGCACATGAGCTAGTTAAGCATTATCATAAGGACAACCTTTATCCTAGATGTGCACTTAAGATAGACATTATGAAGGCTTTTGACTCTATTTGTTAGAATTTTATATTCCAAATATTGACTGTCTTGGGGTTCCCTTCATAATTTACAAATTGGATAAAGACCTACACTACTATTGCCATGTTTTCTATCTCATTCAAGGGGGATTTGATTGGATATTTCCATGGGAAAAAGAGAATTTGGCAAGGTGATCTATTGTCTCCATACATTGTTGTTATTTGCATGGAAGCTCTTTCTAGACTACTAAATAAAGCTACTTCTAAGGGTCAGATTGCTTATCATCCAAAGTGTGCTAAAGTGCAGCGTACTCATTTATGTTTTACGAATGATTTGTTCATCTTCACAGATGGCATTGCTACTTTCCTATCTGCTATTGATGAAGTTTTGAAGGCTTTTTTTACTCACTCTAGTCTGAAAGTTAATTACAGCAAACCTGAAATTTTTTTGTTGTGGATTATTTGATTCTGCTATTCCTTCTTTAAGTGGTGCATATGGGTTTAAGGTTGGAACACTTCCAATAAAATATTTAGGCATCCTCTTAGTCACTGGAAAACTCTCTGAGAAGGAGCTTAGGTCATTAATAGCAAAAATTATTGACAGAATGTCTTCTTGGACTACCAAACATCTCTCTTTTACAAGACAACTACAACTAATATCCTCTATTATCCAGAGAGTTACAAATTTATGGTCCTCCATTTTCATCCTTCCAAAGAAGGTCATTAGAGAAGTTGAACAAAAATGCAATGCTTTTCTCTAGAATAACACTATTGAGACAACTAGAGAGGCTAAAATGAAGTGGGAATCTTTACGTTTTCCTAAATAAGAAGGTGGTCTAGGTATTAAAGGACTTGAATTATGAAACATTTCTTGCATAATGAGATACATTTGGATGATTCTTTCTCAAGCAAGCTCAATATGGGTAGCCTGGGTGCATGAGTACCTATTGAAGAATTGTAGTTTTTGGATAGTTTGAGTTCCTGTAGATGCTTCATAAGGTTGGAGAAAAACCCTTAAGCTTCAACCAAAGGCCAGAAAACTTGTCAAGCATATTCCAGGGGATGGCAAGGACATATTCATTTGGCATGATGCTTGGCGTCTAGCTGGTCCATTGATTGAAACTTATGGATCTAGAATAGCTTATGATGCAGCTATTCCTTATCAAGAAAAGTTAGCTGTGGTAGTGCAAGGTAATTATTGGAATTGGCCTCCAGCTCGCTCTCCACAGTTAGTTCAGATTCAAGTTGATCTATGTGGCAAGCTATATCCCCAAGAGGGAATTAAAGATATTGTTGTGTGGATACCCTCAGCCTCTGGAAGATTTCATAGTGGGCAGACATGGCATTGGCTAAGACAAAAGCATAGAAGGGTTCCTTAGTTCAAGCTAGTATGGTTTTCCGACTCTATTCCCAAACATAGCTTCATTGGGCGGCTAGCCATTTTGAATAGGCTAACCACTAAAGCAAGGCAGAAAAAATGGACATCAAGCATCATTGATATCTACACTTTATGTGGCTCAATGTCAGAAACATGTGAACAAATGCTTTTTAAGTGCAATTTTTTAGCTCAGATTTGGTAGACTTTGTTATCCATGGCTAGCATTCCTTTCCATGATTCATATCTCACTTTATTAGCTTGGATGGGGAAAAGAATTAGGAGGAAATCTTTGCAAGTGACCCTTATAATTCCATGTTGTATATCATATTTGGATGGAGAGAAATTGAAGGATTCATGAGCAAACTTTCAAATCAGTTCAACTCATTATTGCAAAATAAGATTTTGGGCTTTGCTAACCCTCATTCTTCTCCCTTGTCCCTTAGCATAGCTAGGTGGTGAGGGCTTGAAAACTTTGTGCAGTGAAGTTTTCTTCTGAAGTTTGTAGGAGTTAATTTTTTTTTTTTTTTTATGTTTTTTTGGTTGCTTGATTGTACATTGACAATTTTATTGGATAAATAATATTTCACATTTTATCCAAAAAAATAAATACTAAAAAGAATTATTTATCTTTGTATTATTT